GCTCATTGTCAGTGAGGCACTACAGACTTACAGAAAAAAGATTCTTCGGGGCTCTCCAATTCCCCTTTCTTGCTGCTCTCCTCGCATGCATCCCCATTACTTCAGCTGCAGGCAGCTCACGCCCTCTGCAGCTCAGCTTGAATCAACCTGGCGGCATCTTTTGTCACAAGAGACAGGGAATAAGTTACTGCAAAAAGTGGCTATAAGGCACACAGGCAGCGGGACTGCACCCCCCAAGTGTAGTGTGGAGACCCAACAGATGTGGACAGACACAAAAATAAATACATTTAAAAAAATCCTAATGCCTACAAACGAGTTCGGTTTCCTCCTTGTCCCCTCATAGGCGGTAAAGAAAGTAGAGCCCCATAGCTGAGCTCCTCTCTCCTGATGGGAAACGAGCACAGAGAATGGGATGCAGTAGTAAGACCTCTAGAATCACTGCTACCAACTGCATTGGTGTCACGCAGTTTTTCAGGACGCTTCTACCCTTCTAAAGAAATCTTCTACCAGCTTGTCAAATTTCTGTGAGGAATTCTGCTTTAGGACATTTAAGGGAGTGAGTAGATACTGCTCTGCAAATCCAGTTGGAAAGTGCTCATCAGAAGCAGGTGCCTGGCTACCAGTGCTGGCTGCTCTTGGTGCTCCTGGCTGTTCTCCACTCAGCTCTTCCTTCTGTTTCTCCTTGTCCGTGTGACAAGTGCAACCTTCATTTGAGCAGAAAGCTGACTCACAGCAGCTCTGCTGAGGAACTTTAACACCTGTGGACTCTCCAGTTTTCTCAGTACATTTCTCTGGGGACTCATAAATAACTCCTCGGGGCACAGAATGCCGGGCAGCTCTTTTCAAGAGACACAGGGGTTCCTGCCCCTTCCTTTTGCTTTGCTGCTGTACAGCTTCTTGCACAGGCTTTGGGATTTTGAGGTCAGGAAGTGCCTGGGGGGCAGAACTTAGGTATTTCTGAAAGTAAACCTGGCACATGCCACCCCTCACAATTGGAATGACCGAGCAAGGTTTCAGCCACTTCACAAATTCACACAGCTCCGAGAAGGATGAGTGGTCCGAGTATGGAATGGGGTGGATGTTGGGGTGGGTGACCTTCACGGGCCTGCCGGTAGGGAGTATGGCAATGGTAGGGTGCAGCATGTTCCAGCTGACAAGGGTATCCCAGCGGATCTCAGCGATATCCACGGCACGGATCCAGCCGGCCCCCTCCTCAGTAGTGAACACTTTTTTTCATCTGCTCCAGGCGCCAGGGGCTCACCACCACCCAGGTGCGGAACTCCACCGCCAGGTCCACCAGCAGCGTCTCCTTCCCCAGACTGTACACACCTGCGAGGAGAGCCGTAAGCAGCGTGTCAGGGCCAGGGGACACGACCCCTGCTGAGGGGAGGGTGCTGACAGGCCCCGCTGGCGGGAGGGGAAGGCAAGTGCGCTGTGGCATGAGGCAGCACTCACCGATGACGACGTGGTGTTGCGGATGCATGCGGATGACGTGGGCGGCCTGGCGCAAGGCGTGCTGCCGCGAGGGCAGGGGCCGGTGCGGGTGGCAGTGGGTGTTGTCCAGGTAGAGGCGGTCGATGTGGCGGCCCCTCAGCGCCGGCTCGCCCTGCATGGCGCTCGTGTAGCGGAAGTCCCCTGCCAGGACAGGCTGTCAGGGCAGG